TTGGTATGGTTTTTGGGTAAGGAATCTTATTAGGGCCCCCAAAAAGGTACTACATTGGAGGGTCTAGGTACTTGTGCATCTGCTTGGGGATTCTGTAGGGTAAATGGGGTGGCAGAGGCGCTTGGCCAAGTAAAGGTACCCGTTTGGTACGTGCAGTGGTCTACCTCTAAGACTTTCTGTCATAGTACCCTAAAGGAACTCTAAAGAACCTCCTGGATATCCATGTGTACAGATGCTCGCCGTCTCCGGAGTCTGCCTTCTCAGACCTGGTTCGGACAACGAGAAGACTGATCTCCAAGCCCTGAATGCTTAAATGCGAAAGCTGTACTTAAAGCCCTCTAACCCTGGGGATCCAAGTATACACAGGATTTCTACATTTGATCGTAAGGTCTATCAATATTACCTACATTGTACTATTTGGATCCTTAGGGTAACTGAACACCCTACGGGCCTTTGCGTTAAAGGATCCCTTCTCGAGCGCAGTTCTAAGGATCAGTGCCTACCAGAAAGCTGAGCAATGGCCGCTAGCGTTGTCGCCACTTTGATGCATGAGGTTCAGGTCGAGCCCAACTCTAAAACCCCAAACCCTCAACCCTATCAAGCAGTGTATGGGTCCAGGAGCACCAGGCTTATGAACATTACCTACATTAAGCTAGTTGGATCCCTAGGGATTAGAAAAGACCCCTGACCCGCCACAACCTGAGCAGCGCTAGCATATCTACATGCTTGGAAGCTGGTGCACCCCAACAAATCTTTCCCACACGGTCCATGTAACTAGATAGTAGATACTTCGGGCCCAAAGGCGTTCCCATATAGTTACCATCGGTCCCAAGTATGTTCTAGAAAGCTACATGGACCCCTTGGGCCCCTCCTTGGGTAATTGGGGCAGGTTTGCCTTATATCCCCGACATACAACATGGCCCCTAAAAGGGCTCCAGAAAAATCAGTCCCAAAGGCAAACAAGCTCCAGCTGAGGCTTAGCGTTTACAGTCCCAACACATCCGGTACACATGTCCCGGCCTGTAGACGAAACAACCCTCGGCTGACTCCTGGTTTTCAGAGAACTCACTTGGGCCATCCCTACACACGACAACCCTAACCCTGAACCCTAAACCCTAAACCCCGGACCCTGAACCATATCCTGAAACACACGCCCTATTCGTAAATATCGTGGCGCTGAAGCTCAAGCATGTCACCCTCAAATCGAAGCCTTGGTGTGAGAGGGTTTCTCACAGTAGCGAGCCTCGAAACGGGCCTCCTTTCCTAGACCCTCACTTTATGTGTGCACTCAATGTATACACCTATACCCTGAATACCCACTATTAGGATCCATATTACCACAAGGAGGGTCCAGGTTTAGGATAACATCGCAATTACCCAACTGAAACATCACCCCTTCCTCTGACTCGACGGCGTGCCTGGATGGATCGCGAGCTGCGTTGAAGGGGACGCCAGGCTCGCGCGTCTTCGGTGTTTCAAAGGGTCTTTGAGGGGTTTGGGTTGTGGGCTACGCGTTCGAGAACTTGGGTTTGGATTTGGATGGCTGAGCCCACAAGCACTTGGACAGATACTGAAAGTAAAGGGGGGGGGGACGTCTTGGTCCTCATAGCACTGAATGGCTGACATTTTGCATCAGCTTTTCTGCATGATCGACCTCATCCAGCATGAATGACAAAGATTTCCCAGTAGCGCTTGCTTTCCTCTATTCTTAGTAGTATGTCCGCAGGCCAACTTGCATGCAGACGCATTTGAGGAACGCGTCACTTCCAACCTCCCTAGTGGTTGTCATCAATATATTCCGGCAGTAGGATCAGTTTGAAAAACATGGCCATGATTCTGTGAAGCCCACAGCAGGAAACAGGCGACGAAGCCAGTTTTCATCACCTAAGATGTCTATAATTGCTCTCTATAGAGGCTGTGCCTGAAATTCCATGAACTCCAATCTAAACCCTCAACCTTAAACCCTAAATCTGTTATCCCTATACTAAAGCTCCATATGTCCCCTATATCACCCCTATATAACCCCCATATACTCTCTAGTTTCCATGTCAATATAACCCCGATATATCCCCTAAGTAACCCCAAATCAACCAGCTGCCTTGCTGGTGCGGAAGCCTACCTCCGCATCATCGCGCTAAACCATGCCACCTTGGGAGAATTGAAAAATACAATGGGAACATGATAATATATTATAGGGATTTTATATGGGTTATATCGGGATACTGGAAAATGAAATGGGAACTTCTTATTATATTGTGTGAGGGATTGTATAGGGGTTAGATTGGGATAATGGAAAATAAAATGGAAGCTACTATATTATCCCCGGAGTTTAGTGGCCCGTTGGTTGGTCCCTGCAGTTTAGCGTTTGGGGCTCGCTGGTTAGGGGGTGTAAGCAAGGTTGTGCGATAGTTCCAATCACATGAAACAAGTGCAAATCGTAGGATTCCTGCAGTCACTGGGTTGCTGTTAAGGAACTTAAAACAAGTTACCATAATAGGTATATTTGGTAGTCAATACGGTTTCTCCACTATAGTAACTTAGATTAAGTTTCTTAACAGCAATCCCAGCTATAGAATCTCAAGTAGGCGCAGCTACCAAAGACGCCTACCATGTTTTGAAAGCTCCCGCATACAGATGCCGTGATGTGGGATGAAGAGCATTGTCCATGCTAAGGCTCCGTAACATGAACCCTAACCCCAAACCCCCTCAACCCTAAACCCCTAAACCCTAAACTCTGTAACCCCATATATCCCCTACATATCCCCTATAACCCCTCAAAAGGGTACTCCTAATGCTTCAGCCTACAAACATGATCACACCTGGAAGGTGCAATTCCTTCAATTTGGCCATGAAGAGGAAGCGATTCCATAGCCTGAACACTCCGGAAAAGCTTGCCAAGAAGTTCCACAACAGGGCCGACAAGAGCGGCGTGTTGCAGAGGTTTGTGCTGAAGGCCCGCATGTGCAGCAAGAGGCAAGCGCGCAGATATGCGTTCCACATTGCTTCATGGTTTGCGTGCGCTCCACTCTACTACATCCCTGGATCGATGGAGATGGACCTGCTTCACAAATTTGTGCTCAAGCTGGGCGGTGGGCAGTTGCCAGGCCGTCTTCGAAAAGTTTTGCCAAAGGCACAAGCCGCGCTTGAGGGCATGAATCTTCGTGGCCGGATTCAGAACGGGGCGTGGCAGAGGCTGAGGCAGAGGCTCCAGCGCTTCCACTGCTGTCGGAATGCCTTGGCTGAGGGGCACCCAGGTTCTGAAGCAGAGGACGACGCAGAGCAGGAACAGGACAAATCGGAGCGGCAGGGGATGGAGAGCGAGGAAAACGAGGATAAGAAGGAAGACAAAGTTGGTGGTGTCTGCCATGCTGAAGCTGGTCGCAATGACACGGCTATAGTTGAGGTGGACTCGTGTGAAGATCAAGCAGAAGCAGACATTCATGGCTACTACGGGTCCGCTGACAGAGACTGAGTTGCTGTTAAGGAACTGAAATTAAGTTACCATAGTGGGTATGTATGTATATACAGATAGGAGTTAATATAGCTTACCCAATACTATATAGCAATTTGAATTAGGTTCCTTAACAGCAACCCAGGAGAAGGCAGCGAGGCCTGTGTTGGCATCCGTGATGCAGCGCTTGCTGCAGTGGCAAAGGACGCGCAACCATGTGGCAAAGAAGCACAGCTACATTTCTTCAGAAAGATAAACCTGTGGGCCAACATGGTCAACCACGAGAAGCTGGCCTTGCTCAAGGAGCTCCAGCTCGCGAGCGGCTGAGACGTTTTTGGAGATGTGTTTGAGGATACTGTATACCCCTCAGGAGTTGAGGTCTGATCAAGTTAGCAAGGCAGGACTAAGGAACATTATTCCCCAATTTTCCTAGCCGACTTTTAATACAACTTACTTACCCTATTGTAAGTGGCTAGGCCGCTGCAAGATGTGCGTGGAAGAGCAATCCCCCAGGCAATAAAGTTTCCCTCCTAACAACAAATGGCCCCAATAAAAGTTCCAATTCAGGTGCGGATTTGTTTGAATCAAGGGCCGGAGGTCTATAGTACTGTATCTGGAGAAGGAGATTAATCTTGCAAGGCCTCTGTGAAGAGACCTTGTTTGATGTATTCTGGCCGCCGCCTATTCAGTTTCGGGCCCTTGTTGGGAAGTCTCTTTTTGATGTGTTCTGGCCTCGGGGCCCTACTGAATCCAGACCATCCACTTTAAAGTAATCCCTGAATACAGTGGGAGCCTTATTGAGCCCAAATTTTAATTGTTGCGGGGCCATATTGTTAGGGGGGGATGCCCAATGCCCCTGTGCCACAATACCCAGATAGGCCAGTACAGCTTAGCTAGAAAATATACTTTACATTATACCCGATCCCAACGCAGGCTTGAGGCAGATTCTGTAATTGAGGGGTTCGAAGCTCCCTGGTCGCCTCGCCTTACCCTAAACCATATGTGTCCGTAACCAGCCGTCTTGTACAAGGTGATTTAGGGGGTTTGGGTTCAGGGTTTAGGGCTTAGATTCCCTCAGTATCAGCAGAGGCAAGGCGGCAGGCAGCGAAGCTGTCCTGGCAGACGCTGTCTGCGCCGTCGCGGCTGCCCTGTGTCCTCCCCGAACACTGGGCTAATGTAAAGGCTTCAATGACTACTGCTATTCCCGCATACTCTCTTTACAATGCAAATGTATATGGGAGTTTCGTGCACAAATCCAAAATATGATGCTGAAGAGGGCTTCCGAAAATTAGTTCCATAATTGCTCTATGTCCATGGGGTTCTGCAGCCCCGCACTTGCCCCCATTTTGAGAGACCCACATGTGATGAGCGGCTAAAGACCTGTCGGGGTTGGCTTTCAGAGAATGGAGAACATCGTGCCACAATGTGATAAGTTTCGCAGGCCAATGTGTCACAATGAAGGCATGGCATAGCAATCATGTTGTCGCTATACAAGGGGAACCAGAGTGTTGTGTAGGCAGCCCAATGCTTCAAGGAAGAACTGACCACGGCTTCGCACACAGGTTCCTAGAACTTCTCGGGCTAGCTGGTGGTTGTGGGCTCTAAGAGCTACCACAAGGAATTACGTGGGGACCGCTACACAAATTTCAGTCTATGACTCCCTACTAGTTGCTAGTAGCTCAGGAACTTTTGCAGCAAACGGTGATGAAGTTACGGGATCTACAGACTTTGCAGATGCCACCGCAGTGGCCATCGCTGAGACGTCACAGAAGCTGCAAGGCCGAGTCAGGTCGCTACTGCTACTCAGCAGCTAATGGTTTAGGGTTTAGGGTTTAGGGAGCTGTAGTCTAAACTCCTTAAAAGGGGGTTGTGTAGGAGATTGTTATTATGGGGGCTATTAAGGTAGATATTAGGAGTTTAGACAATGGGTCACATGTCTGCATGTCAATGTTTGATGATTAATGGTCTTTGCATTCCGCGCTTCACGGCTTCATATCATACAGATTTTATGAGCTTTTGTACTTGCAGGGTTAAAACACAAGTCAAGCAATGTGAGATCCTACACCACACAACTCAATAGGACCCATCCCCACGATATTCAAAACAATTAAATATTCCCCAGTTCCTAGACCCTAAACCCTATAAACCCCAGTTAGGCCTTATGTCAGGCCAGGGCGGTGTAGCCCCATCAAAGCAGGCCAGAGATTATACATGGCTAACCCTATGCAAAGTCAAGCCCTATAGGGTTTAGGGTTTGGGGTTTAGGGTATAAACTCCAAGTACCAGAACCCTCTCGCTATCCTTAATAAGGGATGGGATGTGGGGTTTAGGGTGTAGGGTACCCAGACCCTCGCAGTATTTTTGGTTGAGGTGGGCACTTGAAGCTAAACAGAGGCTTGGTATATACTAGATAGGTACATGGACCATCATGAGCCCCTTCTGTGCTAGGCTCCAGCTTCTGCGTGGCTGGAAGTCTAAGGGTTTCGACTGCAGTACAATTCGTCTGGCGCTGGAGCACATCCAACGGCAGCTGGCAACATTCCAAGGCTTGGGTAGGGGGCCAGGTATTCCACATGCTACCAGGCATCGTATCGTGACCACCGGCCATTGCCTATGTCAGATCTGGAGGGTATGTTTTTTGGCTTTTTACTTACGCGGAAACAGGACCATTCTATATTCATGGAATGGTGCCTTGTAAGTCACCGCAAATCATGCATTGAATGGTAGCTCGTACATCTTCCCACGGAGATCTTTAGAACCGCTAAACCATCCTGTGGAAGGAGACCTTCGTCTTGCGGCTGCGGGTGCAGACTGGCTTGCCATCCAGAAAGCAGTCCAGGATCTGCTGCAAGCCTCCTCGGGTGAGCCAGGAGCCTAGGTACCCAGTAATACACTTTTTCTCTGTTATTTTGGGGCCCCCTTATGAAAGCTGAAGATTAGGGAAAAGGGTACCCTTTTAAGGGGTTACTGGAGAACCTAGGAGCAGGTGAGGACAAGAAGGAAAGGACACAACTGTTGCCACACAGAAGCTATAAGCAGGCAGCGATGCACGCAATGGCTGCCCTGGGCGGCACTGGAACCCACAAGCAGGTCCAAGAATATTTGCGTCGCCATCCAGATCTGTTTGAAGGCACCAACCCTTCTAATTTCCAGCGCTGCCTTGAAGGGATACGTTTGATCAGGTATTGCGAGCGACGCGGTAGGAACAAAGCTGGCGAGCTCGTTTTCGGCGTGCCAGCTAAAGCCCTTCCTCGTGGGGTCCGTCTCAGGAAGGACGGGTTCGTGGCCTACTTGCAAACTCCGGAGGCTACGCTGTCAGGCCCCGTGAGGTCATGTCCTGAGGCTGCAAGTCAAGATTACTCAAAGCTATCACGGTGGCGCACGCAAATGGCCTCAAACGCATTGATGCAACGTGTCTCTGCCTGGGACGGCGCCAGAGTCATGAAAGGGTACAGGGGTACCAAGGCCGACCGCAAGCCTGGCACAGCACGACGTGGAAAAAGCAGAAGCGACCTGAACCCCAATGTAGCACACTTGCCTTTTGGCTCTTTTGATGGGTTTTGTGGGCAGTTGCTGCTTAAACTTGAGGTCCCGGTAAAAAGGTGTGAGATCTGTTTGACTCATCAGTGAGCCTCAAAAGCCGTCGATGTCATTATAGGAAGCCCCACAAATTTTAAAGTTTCAAGATATTTGTTCCGTGTTATCTCATGACGCTCGTTCCCACTCACCCCATGATTAACCGTTCTCTTCTAGAGGTACCAAGCAGAATGCATAAATGCCCCTGTTTTAACCTATCATTTGGGTATGTCTCAAGCGTCCCCTTAAACACAGAATTGCAGGATGTTTCTTCTAAGGATTCGAACGACCCCACGACAAGGACGCAGCATGTGAAGAAGCCTTACACCTACCCTGGCATTGTTCAGTGCAATCCCTATCAGCTTTCCCAGTATCATTTCAAAAACGGGCCCGTGATTTTGAGAGACCTTCCCTAGGAATCCAAGTATACAATTATTACCTACATTGGGCCCCAAAGTCTGTAAATATTACCTACATTGGGCTATTTGGATCCCTAGGGCTTTATTTGAGGGAAGGGAGGCTTCAGAATTCTCGCTGCTCGCTGGTCATTTGGCCTATTTGGGTGAGGGTTCTCCTTGGCGCTTACTTTGGCCCTTAGACCCTCCATGGGATTCCCTTAAATATTCCTATTATAACTATAGGGTTTAGGGGTTATGGGATACCTAAAAGTTGACTTCTAGGACGGATCCCAAGTGCCACGTTGGGTTTAGGGCAACGGGTTCTCGTGTCTCCAAAGCCTTTGAATTCTTTCCAAACTCAGTCTACATATGAACAGTTCTCGAGATTATGGGCCACCTTGGGTTATAGATTATATTAAGGCACTTAGTATTTCGGGGTACCAAGGTGTGACCTTAATTTTGGGGACTACCGATAATTCTTCCCTTGGGTCTGTTTAAGACCATGGCTCGTCATAATGCTCACTCAACCTGAAGCTTCGACAAGCCACCTTCCAGGGCTTTCGCTTTGTAGGGTTTTGGGTTCAGGCTTCAGCATTGTAAGGGGTCAAAACCATGAAGCAGTTTGGAGCAGCCCAGGCCCCTGAACGTTACCTGGAAAGGCGTACTTGCCCGAACTCTTGCCCTGAGCCCCTAACTACAAATCCCTAGGCCCAGCTCAGCCCAAAGCAGAAGAACTTTGGGGGGTAAGTGGGCAAATAATTGTGTGCTGTTGGCCTTCCATGTCGACTCTTTGGAGCCACAGAGTCTACCAGGGAAACTTTTTGTACTCAGCAAAACAGAAAGACATCAAACCAGAAAGTGCAAGGCCCTTCTTGTTACAGGCACGTTGGTTGGTTTACTGTTTAGTGTTTAGGGTTTAGGGTTAGGGTTTAAGGTTCAGGGTATGGTTTGAGGGCTGTTAGAGGCAGTACTGCACAGAATTGCTCAATGTGGATGGGGACCAGGTCCATGTTACAGATCCTTTCAAGACGTTATGGGATAGGCGCACACAGGGTTTTTGGATTATAGTTTTGAGGCCTTTCACTGTTTTGGGTATGGGGTTTTCTCAGACGACTCCAGAAAGGATCCTTGTTTCCTTCAACGGAACATAGGCTATATATTGGGGTTCTGTATCGATAATGGCAAAGAAAATGGAAACTGGCAACAATGGAGAATCAAATGGAAAAGAAATGGACAATCAAATGGAAACTGGTGTTTAAAATAGGATAGTAATGGGACCAAGGGAGCTTTGTAAGGGGGAGGATTTCATGTGTGGAGTTGGGAATCTCTGAAAGTACGGGCTGCTCCTGACTGCTATGCGCTTTGCGGAATACTTTGCGGGAACCCCCCCTCAACGCGAAGGTTCACCAGGGCATGGAATGTAACTTAAACTAAGTTACCATAATGGCTATGTCTAGTTATGAATATGGTTTCCCCCATATAGTAACTTAAATTTAGTTCCTTCTAGGATTAAGGTTTCCCCAATATGGTAACTTAACTTAAGTTCCCCATAGGCTTACTTAAGGGTTTAGGGTCAGAAGTTTCGGTGTAGGGGTGCGGAGTTGCACCTGGGTTGAATTCACAGACAGGGCCAAGGGGCTCATTGAGATACCCTAAACCCCTAGGTACCCCAGTAGTACCCTTTTACCCTTTTCATTTGGGGGTCTCCTTATTAAAGCAGAACAGTAGGAAAAAGGGTACCCTTATCATTTAGGGTTTACTGGGGAACCTAGACCCTAAAACCCTGTTTTGTTCCACCCGGCAAATGGAGTGGAACGTGGGGTTAGACGGGCTTCTAGGGAAGGGTAGCGGCCAACATGATTACCAGCGTCATTTTGAGATTTTTGGGGACCACCAAGAAGGTGCCCCTAACATTAGGAAACCCTAATCCCTGCAAATCCGTATACTTAAGAGCCTCCGGCTCAGTCCGCCGACCCAGTGGCGGAGAAAGCACGAAAGCCTAAACGCGAAACCTTGAGGGTTTCCAGCGGCTGGCACGAGACCAATAGATAGGCGCAACAAGACT